ACAGGCCGGGCTGGACTGGCAACGCGCACCACTGGCTTGGTGCGAGGAGCAGGAACAGGCCGGGCCGGGCTGGCGACGCGCACCACTGTCTTGGTTCGAGGAGCAGGAACACGCCGGGCCGGGCTGGGAACACACACCACTGGTTTGGTGCGAGGAGCAGGAACAGGCCGGGCCGGGCTGGCGACGCGCACCACTGGCTTGGTGCGAGGAGCAGGAACAGGCCGTGCCGGTCTGGCGACGCGCACCACTGGCTTGGTGCGAGGAGCAGGAACAGGCCGGGCCGGGCTGGCGACGCGCACCACTGGCATAGTGCGAGGAGCAGGAACAGGCCGGGCCGGGCTGGGAACACGCACCACTGGTTTGGTGCGAGGTGCAGGAACAGGCCGGACCGGACTGTGGAGGCGGACTGGAGGTCTGAAGCGGAGAGCTGGCACAACCCGTCCTGGCTGGATGCCTACTTCCGCACAGTATGTGTGAGGCATTGGCACAGGACGCACAGGGCTGTGCACGCGCACTGGCGATACAGTACGTAGAGCCGGCGCAGGATATGCGGGACCGAGGAGGCGTACTGGAGACCAGGAGCGTTGAGCCGGCACACACCCGTCCTGGCTGGATGCCCATCTTCGCACGGCACGTGCGTGGTGCTAGCACAGGACGTACAGGACTGTGCCGGCACACTGGCGACACAGTACGTAGCTCCGCATAACACGGAGCCTGCCCAGTCACACGCTTCCTCGCGTGAGTACGGGGAGTTGGCTCTGCTCTAACACTAGGCTCCGCCAACCACCCTTTTAGCCCCCCCAAAAACTTTCTTGGGTCTGTCTCTCTGGCTTCTTCCTCGACCGGCTTCCTCTGTGTTGCCGTTGCTCCTCTCCTGCCTGGGCATCTACCTTCGCCCATGGCCCTTCCCCGCAAATATCTCCTCCCACGACCACAAATTGCCCACATGTGACATGACTACTCTCTCCACCTGGGCACGCTGCTTGGTCCTCATTTGGTGGGATCTTCTGTCATGTTCGTTGAAGGACGGGTCAGACCAAGGCGCAGCGTGATATGCATACATGTTTATTATAACGAATAAACAACGACAAAACAATAAACCAACGACACGTGACGTCCTAAGGTAACACACAACAAACCTCACACGGAACAAGATCCCACAACCCACTAGTGCCAATAGGCTGCCTAAGTATGGTCCCCAATCAGAGACAACGAGCGACAGCTGCCTCTGATTGGGAACCACACCGGCCAACATAGATCTAGACATACTAGACTATAAACATAGATCTACACCACATAGAAAATCACACCCTGACTCAACAAATAAGAGTCCCCAGAGTCAGGGCGTGACAGGTCCGCTCAGGTCTAACTAGTGTTTTTAGACAATTTTCTTCCTACGGGTAATGTATGCCCATGGGCAACTTGCTTAAATCCCCCTTTTCCCAGAAACACATAACACAGTTACCAAACAGAGTAACCAGCAAATGAGTGAGTACACAAAACACAGGACACCACAGTATCCATACTCACATACGGCAATCGTCTCCCAACAAACACAACTGACTGGCTTTTAAAACAATGGGAGGTGTAAGTGAAAAACCAGAAACAGGTGGTGCAATACAGAGGAAAATCCACTGATTGGTCCACCTAAGCAATCAGCAGCCAAACAGATGTCGGACAGGTGGGACACCCCAACGACCACCAATCAGGAACATAAAGGACACCTGTGATTAGGGCAGAAGGAGAGGAAAAACACAAAAACAAACACAGGATACCTGTATCCGTAACAGACTGGAACACAGAAGGTGCGTTGGCGAGGCCGTAGGGCATGATGCAGTATTCATAGTGGCCTGAGATATTGCTGAATGCCGTCTTCCACTCGTCTCCTTCCCTGATTAGGATCAGGTTGTAGGCACTCCTCAGGTCCAACTTGGAAAAGTACCGGGCCCCTTGTAGCTGCTCGATGGCCGACGGAACCAGAGGGAGGGGGTAGCGGTACTTGGTGGTGACTGCTTTCAGCCCCCTGTAGTCAATGCATGGTCTCAGTCCTCCGTCTTTTTTGGCCACGAAGAAGAAGCTGGCGGAGGCAGGAGATGTAGAGCGTCTGATGAACCCCTGTCTGATGAGACCTGGCCGTGTGGTGCCAGGATAACAACCTCTCCCTCAACGTGATAAAGACAAAGGAGATGATTGTGGACTACAGGGGAAAAAATAGGACTGAGCATGCCCCCCATTCTCATCGACGGGGCTGTTGTGGAATAGGTTGAGAGCTTCAAGTTCCTTGGTGTTCACATCACCAACAAACTATCATGGTCCAAACACACCAAGACAGTCGTGAAGAGGGAACACACACCAAGACGGTCGTGAAGAGGGAAAGCCTATTCCCCCTCAGGAGACTGAAAAGATTTGACATGGGTCCTCAGATCCTCAAAAAGTTCTACAGCTGCACCAATCGAGAGCATCCTGACTGGTTGCATCACCGCCTGGTATGGCAACTGCTCAGCCTCCGACCGCAAGGCACTACAGAGGGTAGTGCGTACGACCCAGTACATCACTGGGGCAAAGCTTCCTGCCATCCAGGACCTCTATACCAGGCGGTGTCAGTGGAAGGCCCTAAAAATGGACAAAGACCCCAGCCACCCTACTCATAGACTGTTCTCTATGCTACCACATGGCAAGCGGTAACGGAGCGCCAAGTCTAGGTCCAAAAGGCTGCTTAACAGCTTCTACCCCCAAGCCACGAGACTCCTGAACAGCTAATCATGGCTACCCGGACTATTTGCATTGTACCGGAACCCCCTCTATATAGCTTTTATTTTTTACTTTTATTTTCTCTACACCTGTTGTATTCGGCGCATGTGGCAAATAAATGGCTACCTGCTCTTTCCATGACAGAGACTGACCAGGTGAATCCAGGTAAAAGCGATGATCCCTTATTGATATCACTCCAACCAACTTGCAAGAGGTTGAGGCCGCAGCCTGTGTTCCCCTCCTCGTTTACCTCCACAAAGTTCCTATGAGCAACCATAGACAGGAAGTGCCCCCCTTCCCTCCTGCTCTTCATTGTAAACAGAGCGATAATATTAATACTTGGCCGGCCGGGATGTCCTTGTCCCATCGCGCTGTAGCGACTCCTGTGGCAGGCCGGGCGCATGGACGCTGACATGTGCACTGACATGGTCGCCAGGTGTACGGTGTTTCCTCTGACACATTGGTGCAGCTGGCTTCTGGGTTAAGCATGCATTGTGTCAAAAAGCAGTGTGGCTTGGCGGAGTTGTGTTTTGGAGGAAGCCCGACTCTCGACGTTCGCCTCTCCCGAGTCCGTACGGGAGTTGCAGCGATGGGACAAGACTGTAACTACCAATTGGGGAGTAAAGGGGGTAAAATAAAAAGGTTAGGTTTAAGATAAGTATAATGGTGCTATAAAATTCCACAGGCACAGGTTGAGAACATTCATGACGCATCCACATCTTTGACTTGGTAATGTTCCCCTTTGTTGTAGATATAAAAGATAAATGTCATACAACGTTAAGAGATGCATCTATAAGTGTTCGAGTCTGATGGTAGGAAGAGTATACAATCTCCTCTCACCTGTGCTGACACTTCCTAGTCAACTACATGTGACCCATAACCCCATGTGAGAGTGCCCCTGCTGTACTAAACAAGTTAAAAGTTTCACTTTCAATTTTGCTGAAATGAAGCAACCATACGTTTTATTTTCTTTTAACATATTTGGGTGTGACAAAGTCACAGATTTGGAATCAGTGCCAAATTGACAGCAGAACATTTCTTTAAAAAAATGTACTTTCACTTTTACTCAAACCATAAGTGATCAGAAATATTTTTGTTATTATTGAGGTATAATGCAGTATATATTTGGTCTATTTTTCTTGATGAGGAAATGAACAATAAAAAACGATCACAAAAAACAAGTATAGTGTAATGAATTCAGGAGAGAACCTGCACTGAACTCAAAACCAAACATTAATTTGGAGTGCAGTAGAAATACAGTCTCTAGTGAAAGTTTACACACCCCTTGCACAGTTTTCACATTTATTAAATCTAAACAGGAATACATTGGAATTTTCCCATCCCAATCTACACAACCTACTCCACATTTTCAAAGTGGAAGATTTGTTTTAATATTCAAAAGAACATATGTCTTCACACCTCAGAGTTAATTAATACTTGGTTGAAGCACCTTTTGCATTCATTACAGCTGTGAATCATTTTGAATAATCTACCAAGCTCAGTCAATTTGGTTGGGAATCATTGATGGACAGCAACATTCAAACCTTGTCTCTGATTTTCAAAACATTTAAGTCAGGACTGAGACTGGACCAAACAGTAACACTCAACATCTCTTGGAAAGCCATTCTGGTGTGTCTTTGGCATGACATTTTTTGCAATTATTGTCCCGTAATTTATTTTTTACTCTATCCCAGGGTTAGGTTTTCAGAAGACTGAGGCGGGTTTTCCTATTTTTACCTGGGCTTTGCTCCTTTCATATTTCCTTTTATCCTGACAAACTCTCCAGTCCCTGCCGATGACAAGCATACCCTTTAACATGGTGCTGCCACCACAATACTTGAAAATACAGGGGGTTTCACTCTGTGCTGTGTTGTATTGGATTTTACCCAAGACTGTAATTTTTTTATTTAGACCATAAAGGTTATGTCTTTGCTGTGTTGTCTTGCAGTATTATTAACAGTCTTATTGCAAACAGAATGAATGATATGGAGTTTATTTTCTAGCACAGGCTCCCTTCTTTTCACTTTGTCGTACAGGCCAGCAATGATGGAGAGAATGCAATGTTGTTAATCCTCTGTATTGTGGTGGCAGCAACATGTTATGAGTCATTATCACTTATGTTATCATAATAACTTATGTTCACAGGGCACATGAGTGGGGAAACCTGTTAAACATGAAATACTGTAACATTGCTGATTTTCCCCCTTCCTGCCCTACCCTCAATGTTGGGTTTATAATGACCTGTCTCCCAGCCCAGATACCACTGCTGTTCACCTGCCTGTCTATCTGTCCACGATGAAGCTGATCCTGACTCTCTCTCTCATCTGCACTCTCTTCTGCTCAGGTAACACCTCTGACCTCATACTGAGACGGGCATCTACCAAGATAAATGGTTTCTTGACTGCATCACTCTCAAATGCCTGTGTTAATATTCATCATAGCTAAATTGCTTTTACAGTTTATTAGTACATTTTCTTATTTACTGTGAATTTGTATTCTTTTCTTGTTTTTCAGTTGAGATGCTGCAGTGTTTCAACTGCATTGGTGCGGAGTGTGGTACAAACCAATCTTTAGTCACCTGTCCAGACTCATTAAACAAAGCATGTCTCACTGCTACTGAAACCATAACAGGTGAGTTTAGAGTTGGTTTCCACTTCACGTTAACGCTTCAAACTAAATTAAATTATGCTGTTAGCTTCCTAATGAAGTATGTTTTTGAACCCTCCTGTTTAATTACAATGTACAATATTTCATGGTAACTGACTCATGGCTCTATGCTACCATTTCATTAGATTATGTTCTAAATTCATCTCTCTTTCTCCGGTTTTGTAATGGATCTGTTACTGGTGAAGGTTCCATAAATACCACCCAGACAATCAAGGTGTGTTCACCAATCTCCAACTGCGGAGCTCCTCTGAACTCTGAAGCCACAGTGTCAGTGAACCTGGGCTTCACAACTGTTGCCTATAAAGCCCTCTGTTGTAACACTGATGGGTGCAACAAAAACACTCTACTACCGCCTGGTAAGAGAACTGTGTCTTTTACCTAAATAAGGTTTGGGTTTTGTAACAATGTATTTGATGTCCTGATTTCAGTTGTCATAGTTTGAAGAAATATATGATCTCAAATACACCAGCTGAGATGTCATGTCTGTTATGGAGATTTTTTCATTTAGTACAGTTTCAAAGCCACCAATGTCAAAGATGGGGAAAAAATTGAATAAAGGCAGGATTTACAACTACATACTGTAGTCAGAAGTGGAGAGCCTTTGTTGCTGCCCTCTGCACCAGAGTGAGTTAAATACATAGCTAAATCAATAGAAGTGTATTTTTCATTTTTTTATTTAATCTTATTTATTTAAGATTGTAGCACTTTGGTATGTAGTCAGTCACGTAGGCAGGGTTGGATAGTAATGGATTACATGTAACTGGGATTACTGGGATTCCTGATTGGACATGTTAAATTAAACAATGTATTTATTGAATCATACCATTTCAGTAATCTATTAGGCTACACTTCTTAATGAAGCATTTTAAAATACTTTGTAAGATGATTAGGCTATGACATTGTTCCACTGCGTGACGCCGCAACAACATTTTGGTGCGACCAAATCATGGGCTGGTAGCACCAACTGAGAACATTAACAGGCTGCCCTGTGACTATGCTTTCACACATAAAATATGGAACACGTAAATTATAGGATCTTTATCCTCTTACACTAGTCCCCTTTTCTGAAATTGTCATTTTACTAAATGAAATAATGCTATATTAAAATATAAAATGATGACAAATTATGTCTGGGTGTTAGAAATGAAGGTAATCCAAATGTAATCCAAAAGTAATCGGATTATGTTACTCATTTTGAGTAATCCATAGGATTACATTACTGATTACGATACTTTTGATGTAACTGTAATCTGTAACAGATCAAATGTTTTTAAGTAATCCTCCCAACCATCCCTGCATGCAGTTGGGGGTTATAACCAGTTAGGCCACTCATCTAACTGAAGGAAAGTGAAAGTCTTTGGAGTCTTTTCACAACCTTAATCCTATACTGTCCAGTCCGTCTTGGGAGTTGAGCATATAGTTAAGACTTCAGATAAATTCACCACCTTTCTCAGGAGGGTTACACTGTACTGTACTGTCTCATTGCCTCAATTCCACTATCAGAACAAGGACAAATGAGAACTAAGGAGAACCAGACAACATGGTTCCTGAATGTGTTTCCATTGTATTACCAATGAAATCTGAACAATAGTTATTTAGCTACTGTAGCTAGTTATATTTTTATATTTTTATTTAAACTTTATTTAACCAGGTAAGCAAGTTGAGAACAAGTTCTCATTTACAACTGCGACCTGGCCAAGATAAAGCAAAGCAGTGCGATAAAAACAACCACTGAGTGTAGAATACATATCCACCATAATCCATATCTGTTCTCTTCCTACAGCCCCCAGTTCGCAGGCTAACGGACGACAGTGTCCCTCCTGCAGCAGCCCCCAAGACACAGTGTGTAACAGTCCTGTGGCCTGCCTGGGAGTGGAGGACAAGTGCTTTAGTACCAGTGGTGAGTTGTCTTGTGGTTGTTTTCATGATACAAAAGCTTATGACATTAGGTCATCTCTAGATAATCTTCTGCTGTTGACACAAAGCAGCTATTATTGTTGATTCAAAACAATTCAGAGATTTTAGTTGTTTTAAGAGAGAAAGGTGTTCGGATAACTTAGTGTTTTTCTCTTTGACAGTGAAACCTGGCTCTATCAGTTCTACTACGGTGAACCTCCAGGGCTGTACAACTTCCAACGTCTGCAATGCTATTGATCAACTGCTGCCTTTAGTGATGACCTTAAGTGACATCAACGTTGTGAATTTCACCTGTAAAACAGCCCCTAACACAGCCTGGTCCATCAGACTGAGCCTAGTCCCTCTGCTGCTGGGCCTCACCATCAGCAAACTCATCTGATAGGAACAGAGATGATATCGGGACTCATCTGACAACATAATCCATTGATTACAAAATAACAGGATGTACAATGCTTTTCATGTATTGTGAAAGACGTACTTCAAGTGAAATTATGCTATATGGAATTTGCCAGATGATGCCCTGTTACATTATATAGTGTTCTTGTTTAAAGGTCCTGTCCTGTCCTGTGAGGCTGCCTGTTTGATGGAATACTTTCCTATATACTGTATTACTCTGTACACTGAGTATACAAAACATTAAGAACACCTTCTCTTTACATGTTATACACTGACCAGGTGAATCCAGGTGAAACTATAATCCCTTAATGATGTAATTAGTTAAATCCACTTCAATCAGTGTAGATTAAGGGGAGAAGACTGGTAAAATAATGATTTTTAAGCCTTGAGACAATTGAGATATGGATTGTGAATGTGTTATTCAGAGGGTGAATGGGCAAGACAAAATATTTAAGTGCCTTTGAACGTGGTATGGTAGCACATGCCAGACGCACCGGTTTGTGTCAAGAACTGCAATGCTTCTGGGTTTTTCACACTCAACAGTTTCCGTGTGTTTCAAGAATGGTCCACCACCCAAAGGACATCCAGCAAACTTGACACAACTGTGGGAAGCATTGGAGTCAATATGGGCCAGCATCCCTGTGGAACGCCTTCGACACCTTGTAGAGTCTATGCCACGACGAATTTAGGCTTTTCTGAGAGTATGGGGAGGTGGTGCACCTCAACATTAGGAAGGTGTTCTTAATGTTTTGTAAACTAACTGTATATTCTATCAAGTGTGTGTACTTAAAGTTGAAAACAAATCATATTTTTCAATGCCAATAAAGTTTCTATCACTCTACCAAAATATAAATGAAGTGTTATCTTATTGTGAATCATATGAAAACACACAACACTTTTAATTAGGATTGTATGCTTAATTTTTACAGAAAGGATAATACACTCTTAAATCCAAATAACAGAGTGTAAGGGGGAACCATGATCATACACAACGCTACTGTCCAAACAGAAAATAAACGTAGACAGTATTTTTTATTTGACTTAGTGGATTCAGTTTCTCTCTACATTTATTCTACAGAGGAGAGGAAAACCTGCAGAGGAACAGGACAGAGTTGGGCTTCTGTCTATAGAGGGTGGTCTGCCGTGTAGCGTTCCTCTCAGATCATAGAGAACGTCACCATCGTAGAATTAGGAATTATAATACTAATAATTTAACAGGATTTCTAGGGTCACCATGCCAGTGGTGGCCTCCTCATTTACTTCCACAAAGGCCTTGTGGGCCACCGTAGATAGGAAGAGCCCCCTTCCCATCCTTGTTCATCCAAGACATTATCGGCCCTGCCCCCGTTGAACGTGTCCCTCACCTGTGCTTAGCTAACACTTCCCTGGTCAACTTTGTACCTAGAGTATATCCATGTGGCCAGTGACCCATAACCCCACATGAGTGCCCCTAGTGTACAAAACAGGTTAAAACATCCCTAGACATCCCTCCTACACATTCATTTAACTCAAAGCAAGACTTCTGTAAAGGACTAATTAACAAGTTAACTATAATGCAAGCAAGTAATAAAACACGAAAAGCATATGTAATGCATTTTTATATTACACAGCATTTCACAGCCTTGTTAAAGAGACAGTTTAGGCTCTGTTGAAGGATGTCTGTGTTCTCATCAACATCCAGCTCAGACAAGTAGTTATTCACTGGGACGATGTAGGAGGAAGGTGGACATGCCAAGCAGAGCCCCAGCCTTGGTCATCTACCCACACACACACACACACACACACACACACACACACACACACACACACACACAAACATTTGTTTTACTATCCTTGTGGGGACCAAACAATTGATTCAAAATCATTTTTTCCCTAAACCCTAAACCTAACCCCAAACACCTATCCCTAAACCTAACTCCTACACCCAACCCCTAACTCTAACCCTAAACCTAATTGTAACTATAAACCTAACCCCTTAGAGTAAAATAGCCTTTTTCCTTGTGGGGACCCAGAAGATTTCCCTTGTTTTACTCTCCTTGTGAGGACTTCTGGTCCCCACCAAGATAGTAAAACCAAACACACACACACAAGTCAGTCAAGGATGTTCACAGTAGAACTACTGTACATACAGGGAGGTTACATTTCAGATGTTCCAATAGCTGATATTCCAATAGCTGACTAACATCAATAAGGGGTATTATTGAGAGTACCGTCTGCTGAACGATCCGGCTGTTGTACACCTGGGTGATGTCACGGGCGGTTTCCTGACACACCTGGTCCACGTGTGTCAGCAGTGCCACTTGATGCACACCTACAAAACACATTTGTTTCACACGCTGTCAACTGACAGAATTGACCACAGTTCCAACAACCATTACTGCCATTGCTAAAACGCTTCCTATTGTGCCACCCAGGTCACTGATGTGTTCTCGGAGCTGTTGGAAGGTGGTGCCTAGGCCTTTGGTGTAGCTGGACACTTTAGAAGCATCCACCACAAAGACGACACAGTGGACCTTGTCTTTAAGGGACGGCTTCTTCACATAGCCCACAGTCTCCGATCTCACAGGCCGCTCAGGACTGAATTGTAGAGGATGAATGGGATTGAGAACATTAACTTGATTATTCAAACCAACCAGCTGAGAGAGTATTGGAATATTCTCTACCAAACAGAGACATTTATATCAGGGGTGAGCAACTCCTGTCCTGTGAGGATGCCTGCATGCTTAGGTTCCAACCCAGCACTAACTCACCTGATTCATAATAGTGGTCTAAATTACAGACTGTGATTAGTTGAATCAGGTGTGTTAGAGTTAAACAGGAATAGAATCCGGCACACACTGTGGCCACTGTTGCATTATTATTGTAATTAACATTATCATTGTAATTATGAATTATAATCTAATTGGTTATTGTCTTATATTTTTGTGTTTACAAGGTAACAGGTAAGCACACATAGGAGCCTAACATTCAGTAAACCATTGAGCAGTCTATTGATTTCAAAAATATACAAAATAATGTTCAAGAAGACCAATATAGAAAGTGAAAAATTGTTTACCTTCCTCTTGTCATTTAAAAAAATGTTTTAATGTCACAGTCGATAAAGATCCAATTCAATGAAGTCCCCCAGGACCAAAACTACTCTATTGGATCCCTCTAGTAGCAGCTGTATAGTTTATTTTCCTCTCTGTGTCACAATCTAAACTGGACTTCTGACACATTATGGCGTTGTCATACATGTTTGACTTTTATTATATTGAATTCTTGTTTTCATATACAGTGAGGGAAAAAAGTATTTGATCCCCTGCTGATTTTGTACATTTGCCCACTGACAAAGAAATTATCAATATATAATTTTAATGGTAGGTTTATTTGAACAGTGAGAGACAGAATAACAAAAAAAAATCCAGAAAAAACTAATGTAAAAAATGTTATAAATTGATTTGCATTTTAATGAGGGAAAGAAGTATTTGACCCCCTCTCAATCAGAAATATTTCTGGCTCCCAGGTGTCTTTTATACAGGTAACGAGCTGAGATTAGGAGCACACTCTTAAAGGTAGTGCTCCTAATCTCAGTTTGCTACCTGTATAAAAGACACCTGTCCACAGAAGCAATCAATCAAACAGATTCCAAACTCTCCACCATGGCCAAGACCAAAGAGCTCTCCAAGGATGTCAGGGACAAGATTGTAGACCTACACAAGGCTGGAATGGGCTACAAGACCATCGCCAAACAGCTTGGTGAGAAGGTGACAACAGTTGGTGCGATTATTCGCAAATGGAAGGAACACAAAAGACCTGTCTCCCTCGGCCTGGGGCTCCATGCAAGATCTCACCTGTGGAGTTGCAATGATCATGAGAATGGTGAGGAATCAGCCCAGAACTACACGGGAAGATCTTGTCAATGATCTCAAGGCAGCTGGGACCATAGCCACCAAGAAAACAATTGGTAACACACTACGCCGTGAAGGACTGAAATCCTGCAGCGCCCGCAAGGTCCCCCTGCTCAAGAAAGCACATATACAGGCCCATCTGAAGTTTGCCAATGAACATCTGAATGATTCAGAGGAGAACTGTGTGAAAGTGTTGTGGTCAGATGAGACCAAAATGGAGCTCTTTGGCATCAACTCAACTCGCCGTGTTTGGAGGAGAAGGAATGCTGCCTCTGACCCCAAGAACACCATCTCCACCATCAAACATGGAGGTGGAAACATTATGCTTTGGGGGTGTTTTTCTGCTAAGGGGACAGGACAACTTCACCGCATCAAAGGGACGATGGACGGGGCCATGTACTGTCAAATCTTGGGTGAGAACCTCCTTCCCTCAGCCAGGGCATTGAAAATGGGTCATGGATGGGTATTCCAGCATGACAATGACCCAAAACACACGGCCAAGGCAACAAAGGAATGGCTCAAGAAGAAGCACATTAAGGTCCTGGAGTGGCCTAGCCAGTCTCCAGACCTTAATTCCATAGAAAATCTGTGGAGGGAGCTGAAGGTTTCAGTTGCCAAACGTCAGCCTCGAAACCTTAATGACTTGGAGAAGATCTGCAAAGAGGACATGTTTTTTTCTGATTTGTTTTTTTGTGATTCTGTCTCTCACTGTTCAAATAAACCTAACATTAAAAATATAGACTGATCATTTCTTTGTCAGTGGGCAAACGTACAAAATCAGCAGGGGATCAAATACTTTTTTCCCTCACTGTAGGAGATATGAGTTGCGCATTGGGAGAGGGTGTCGAGTTGGCAAAATAATATAGTCCCCCACTGCTTTGGAGACTCAGCAGAGTGCTTGTTGTATTCTTTCTCTTGGGCGAAACAGGGATCCACACAGTAAGAACTCTGTTATGTGTAACTTGTCCGAGAAAGGACATAGTCACAGTCTCTAAGAGAAGTTACAGCTCCTCAGTTGTAGCGTGAAATGTTACCATTATTGCTTGTCATAGTATTGGCCACTAAACACAGGCAAGACATGTCAGAAGAAAGTTGAACTTCAGGTAGTACTGGGCCATCAAGAACGGTAAAGGAACAGGTAAGGACAAACATAGAGGGGAACAATGAGACACTGTGCTCCAAAAACAAAAATGTTCAAGCATCGTCATTCCATTCAACGACTGTTGCTGTTTCATTTTTAAATAATCAATGGTGATTTAAAGGCCCAGTGCAGTCAAAAACGTGATTCTCCTGTTTTTCATACAGTTGAATGCGGAAGTTTACATACACCTTAGCCAAATACATTTAAACTCAGTTTTTCACAATTCCTGACATTTAATCCTAGTAAAAAGTCC